TTTTTTTCACTAGTGAATGGAGGAGTATGGAAGACAGAATCGCAATGGTGGTTAGGGCAAAGGGTAGTGAATGAAAGAGAGAGATTACGGAGGAGAAGTTCTCGATATTGGGAAAGAAGGATATTTACTAAACTGAAATTTAGAGAGGAAAATCTTAATTTCTGATTTCATATACTTGATGTACATACCGATGATCACATTCTCTCGGTAATGACTAATGACCTTTACTGACTGTATTACCGACAGATATATTCGCCGGTAACTTACCTACACTATTACCGATGCATATATTCATCGATAAGAAACCAGTATCATCGATAAATTTGTTAATAAATTGATTTAAATGTGGTTCATCATTGGTAACTATCTATTGAAAATTAACCTCTTTTTTTAGCAATGTTTGTTTATAAAAAATCATTTATCAGTTTTGAAAATAATATAAGAAAAATATAATATTATTTATTTATTTAAAGAAACTAATTCAAATGATAAAAACAATTAGACTATATTAATGTTTGTCAAAATTGGTTAAATACTTTTAGATCAAAATTAATTAAAACAGAAGAACTCGTGAACATTAATTTAAATGTGAATTTGATTTTTATATTGAAAAAGTTAAATAAAATACAATAAAAGAATTATAAATGTTTTATATTGAATTAAAGATAAAAAATATTTAAATATTAGAAGAAAAATAATAAATTGAGAATAGTAAATGGGAGAAAGAAAAAAATTAAAAATTATATGAATAAGTATTTCAAAATAAAAAAAAAGTTATTTTTTCATTAGATGAAATTAGAGGCATTTTAACGTTAACTTAATAAATTTTTAAATTAAATTAATTTTATTATTAGAATTAGTTTAATTGACTTAAGTATAAAATAAATAAAAAAAATTAAAAATTACGAGTTAGCATCAATTAAATCGATTTCAATAATAAGTAATTTTAATTTTTAAATTTTATTAAATCAGTACCAAAACAATTCTAAGTAAAGTCTATTAAACATTGTAGTAAGAGTTCATTCTTGGTGTAATCATTCCTATTATCATCCTGTTAAAACCGATTCTAAATTTTAGAAATTAATTAACCGGATTATTGTAGTGAATTACTTAGAATAACGTCTCACAATTTGTTTTTTAAAGGCATAATACCCAATTTTGTCCTCACTTTGGTTCGGAAATCTCAAGTTAGTCCCTTTCTAGAAATGTGAGTGCAATGGATCCTTACTTGTAATTTTTTGAGTCTAATGAGTCCCTTCCGTTAAATAGAAAGAAACGGAGTTAGTGGGCTGATGATGTGGCAGTACTTATTGATTACGTGTCAAAAAATGTGCTTACGTGTGTTGGTTAATTAGGAAATAAATTAGGGAAGAAAGGATTTTATTCAGAAATTGGGGAGGATGAGACCTACCGCGCGACGCCAACCCAAGGACTCTTTCCTTCCTCCACCGCCACCCACTCCAGTCGACTTCCACCGCCGCCAGTACCCCTCCCGCGACTCCGACGTCAGCAGCCGCCCCTCATCCGTTGGCGTCGGCGGACGCCCCACTCTCGATTTCTACAAAGACCGCCAGTTCCAGCAAACGGTAGTTTCCACCATCAACTCCTTCCTCTCCTCGCACAATTTCCCAATCACCTTCAAAACAACCTTCCCCTCTGCCAAAGACATCCTCGAAACCCTAAAAGAGAGATACTACATACAGTGGTGGCCTTTACTAGCTGCAATATGCAAGGGATCAAATCCCGATCGGTTCTTCTTGGAAACAGTCTGAGCAGTGGAATGGTTGAGAAGCTCCTTCACGACATGGAGATGACCCTTTTCAGCTGCAGTGAACAAAGGGGTCTCACCGAGCTCGTTCTCTTCGTTGACGAGGCAAGCTCGCACTTCCGCAATCTCGATGTCGAGATCGTCGTCGTCGCCGTCGCCGAGAGTTCCCATAACCTGAGATTCGACGTCGAGAAGGATCTGTCTCACGGCGCCGACGTCGCCCCTCTGTGCCGCCAGGTGCAGCTCCGTGTCGTTATGCCGCCCCGTCACTTGCTTCACGTACTTCTTCCTCCCCGTCTGGTCGATGCGCTTCCCCGAGTTCGAAAGCACCAGCGCCGGAGCTGTCGATGAGGACGGCGACGGCGACGGTGACGGCGATATCTCAGAAAGTGGATTCTGAAAGGCTGATGCTGGGATCGGCGATGGGGGGTCCTTTTCTCCTTGCCCGTCAGCTCCCGTTCCTGATACAAGCAAAAGGGTGATCGAAAAATGAAAAATTTAGAAGAGTGAAGAAATATAGAAAGAGAGAGAGAGAGGGAGAACCTGTTTGGTTTGGGTGAGAGGCCATTGAGATGGTGGAAGAAGGAACAGAGGAGAGGCCATTGGATTGTTATGATTTCAAGATATTGAGAATCTTAAAGGAAAGGAAGATGGGTGGAAGGAAAGTGGAGAAACAGACTCAGAAACACGAAACTTCAGAGAAACACACGCATTCGGAGGAAGACACTTTGGACTTTTGACACGTAATCAATAAGTACTGCCACATCATCAGCCCACTAACTCCGTTTCCTTCTATTTAACGGAAGGGACTCATTAGACTCAAAAAATTACAAGTAAGGATCCATTGCACTCACATTTCTAGAAAGGGACTAACTTGAGATTTCCGAACCAAAGTGAGGACAAAATTGGGTATTATGCCTAAATTAAATTAGAGATAAGTACATCTTGTTCATTAAAATAAAAAATTAAACAATAAATTGAATTAAATTAGGAATGAGTATACTTGGTCCATGAAATTAATACGTTGTTGACTCAAATCTTTTCTTATTAAAGCGCAGATAATGTTGTCACGTGTTTAGACAATGGGATACACCGAAATGAGTGTGCATGTGATAGGTTTTAGCATATGGTGTTTCTTGCTATAGGAAAGGGACAGTTGGCTTGAACAAACAGGGTGTCCTGGAACCAATACTTTTAATTATTTGTTTTTTATGGTGTAAAGAAAGTGGGAAATCGAAGAAAAATAATACATAGAAAAAGAGATGATTAGAACAAATTGAATAGGACAGAAAAAAAATATTAAAAAAGTTTGAATGAACAGGTTTGATTTAAGAGAAAAAGAAAATAAGAATTATTATGAAATGATTATTATGTTTTAATTGTAAAACCAAAGTAAATTTAAAAATAATGACTTTTCAAAAATTGTGTTTATATGATAATTATGCTATGTTTGTATTTGATTATGATATATATGTATAATTAATTGTGGTTTATACAAAAGTTAATTATGTAGATCTTAGATTAATGTGGTCTTAGATAAACATTCATAATGGATTAAGTGGGTATCTTACGTACTAAGATCAAAATTTTATAATTATCTAATCATTTAGGCATACAATTGAAGATAAAACGATATAAAGCATATAAAAATAGAAAGTCACGGACTAAAGGTATGTAGCTTGTTTTATGTGATGGAGTAGAACACTTGAAGGATAAAATAATAACTAATATATTAAAACAACATCCATAACAATAGTGTTTAACGCATACTAGAAAATTCATAAAGGTTTTAAGATAACATATACCACAATAAAGAAAACATTTTATTTAAAAGTTTAATATCGTCATATTTATTTTGTTATCAAATTGTAAATCTTCTTTCTACTCCACAAACTCTTACCTCTTGTTACTCGTACTTCAAATTTTTTTTGTTTTTTATTGAATGGTAAGGTTTTTATAAAAAAATTTTCAACATTCAAGTGGTGCTTTAGTCAAAAAATCTAGTTAAATTTGAATTAATATAAAAATAAGTTAAAATTTGATTAAAATAATATTTATAAGGTGTTTTCGTCATCATGGGTCTTCACTAAAATGAGCCTCAATGGGTCCATTGGCCTATAGGTCCAATGACTAGCTTACTTGCAGCGAACTACAACCATTTTTGACTAGGTTATCTAATATGAGAATGTCTTTGTTAGGCTGGAGTAAGTACTAGTAATGAGGAGCATGCTTATTAGAGGATCGATGTAGCCTTTAGTTTAGGAAACATAATATTCGGTATTTGGTTATTGGCACGCGCTATGCAATATTGAACTTACTCATTTGGGAGTGCAGTCATCGGTATTCAATATATAGTTCATCAATTGCAGAGTATTCGATGATCTTCCATATAATTGTATTGGCTACAAGGTAGTAGTGTAAATATTTGGTAGACAATATCCTATCGATGTGTTAAGTAACTATTTCAGGAATATAGTTGATAAGGTCAAAGGATTTACGACCACATATAGTACATCTTTCATTTACTTCAATATATTTTACATATACATTTTGTATTTTAGTCTAATACATTTTAAAGATCTTTAAATCAAATCATTGTTTTTCTCAAGGATTTTCATTCAATATATTTTGAGTGAACCAAATTAATTCGATGTGAATTTTTTATCAATTAGACTAACAAATAGTTGTTTTTTTGTCTAACGTAGAGTGTGTTGTTTTAAGGTTCGACAATAAAGATAAAATTGATGTATAAACCGCTTATGTGTAGATTAATTTCACAAGTATATTCAACTCACTTAATTCACTTTTAATGTGGATTTCAATCAAGAATTCATGCATTTCTTTCCAACAATCATATATATATATATATTATCTTTATTTTACATTTATCTTTTATCTTTATTTAGTTTATTATTATTTCTTATTTGTATTTTTGGACTTAGCCCATATTTCTTCTATTATAAATACATGACTCTATGTGTATATTCAACACAAAAGGGGATTAATCCCATAAATAGTTTTTACTATATTCAACATGGTATCATAGCCAGGTTCTTTTGAAAAAAAAATTGTTGTTAATACCTGTCGTTGCGGCGGCGGTGTTGTCTACTGCTAGAGTTTTAGTTTCGATCGACAATCACATAATTTTTATCGTCTCAGCTAGGCAACTACCGTGTCGTCAACAATGCCTTTATCAGAGCTCCTACGTGTTCTGTTTTTCCCTTTTCAGGTGTCTTGACTGGAGAATGTTTGATTTTTTAAGGTTTCTTTGTCCTATTTATCCATGGCTTCTTTTACTACTGTATTTTCTGACCTCCATTTTGTCACCATTTCGTTTGACCCATGATATGGAACAGCATGCCTAGATAGAAATAAGTCTAAGAACTAAGAAAAAACAATTAAGAAATGGAATTAAAAGATTAAATGAAGTACTTGAAAACACTAGAAGGGGGTGGTTGAATAATGTTAGTGGAAAATGTTTTTCGCAACCCTTTTGGTATATCACGTTGTCAAGTGAATGTAATAATCTTTTAAACACTTAGACGATTGACTTAAAATATAAGCTTTATAAAGATCACTGTGCTAATAGAATAATTTCTACTACAACGTTTATAAGAACCTCCTTTAAAAATTAAGGATCGTTTAGCTTGAAAGTTCTTATATTTTCAATTAAAAAGCTCAGCTACGGGTTTTCTAAGAGGATCGTTTAGCAAAGAGAAAATAGAATAACACAAGAGATACTATATATTGGTCCGCTCCAATTGAGCTACGTCCAGTCTCCTCTGCAAAGGGTTCCACTATAATCTTCACACGATTACAAATGAGTATTAGCATCACTCTTGGTACTCAGCTACCTCGTCGAGATTTCCTTTGAGTATTCACACCACTCTAGGTACTCAACACCCTGCCGAGATTTCCTAGAGTATTCGCATCACTCCTAGTACTCAACAACATGTCGATATTTCCTTCAGTATTCGAACCATTCCTAGTACTAGACTATTGCGCCTAGATTCCTCAACTCAAAAGAGTTCAGTTGTAAGTATTTTAATTCTCTTCAGAATTGTAATCAAAGATTGCTTACAAGCAATTTAGACTAAGTCTCTCCACGAGATGATGTGAATATAATACAATACAGTCTAAACAACCACATGTGTTTCTCTCTATAATCTTACAAAAGTAGCCTTTCTCAGCTTATACACCTTGTTTTGATGCTCTTTGACCTCAAACCCCTGTGGTTGAACCAGATACACATCTTCTTCTAGTTTGCCATTCAAAAACGCAAATTTCATATCCAATTGAATGAAAAGACTAGTGGAATTTAGTTGCTAATGACATTACCAACCTGATTGTCTCAATTCTTCCTATAAGTGCAAATAGTTCCCCTTAATCTAGTCCAACATGTTATAAAAATCCTTTAGCAACTAATCTGGCATTGCATCTCACTACAATACCTTGTGGATTTATTTTTGATTTATAGATCCACTTCAGTGCTACTGGCTTCTTATTTGAAGGTAATTCAGTCAATTCCCATATATCATTTTTCTCAATAGAATCAATTTCCTCCTGCATTGCCTTCCACCATCTTTCACCAGTAACAACTTATTCAAACTTAATGGGTTCATCCTCTACTGTTAGAGCATAATGAACAAAATTCCTTTCAAATGTGATAGTAGCATCATAAAATAACTCATAATCTCTCATATGAGATGAAAATTAAGTTGTTCTGGATGATCTTCTTAGACTAATACCATGATCACCCGGATTTGACTATACTGCAGCAGATTCATTTTAAAGAATAATGGTTGTTGTTTCCGGCTGAGTTGACTCCCAACACCAAGATTCAGCTTCATCAACCACAACATCTCTACTAATTGCAACATGTTCAGACTTAGGATCATATACCTTCAAGTAGAATTATATCCAACCATAATCAAAGGTACTCCTTTATAATCTAAAAACTTTTTTTCTCAACTGATCTAGTACATGTTTATAGCACACAAAACCAAATATTTTAAAATGAGTAACACTTGGTTTTACCTCAGACCAAGCTTCCTCAAGTGTAACACCTTTCAGCCTCTATATTAGTGATCTATTTAGGATATAAATGTCTGTCAACACAACCTCTCCCTATAAAAAATTTAGAAGATTCTTACTCTTCAGCATACATCTGACCATATTTAAAATCGTTTTGTTCTTCCTTTTTTTTAGTACCATTATGTTGTGGTGTGTAAGGAGGGGTAATCTCATGTGTTATACCCTATTCTTCACAAAACTTCTTGAATTCGGTGGAGGTATACTCTCCTTCTCCATTCGTCCTTAAGGATTTTATCTTCTTCTCACTTTGCCTTTCCACCATATTATTGAATTTTTTTTAGAAATTGCAACACCTCATTTTTCTATGGTAGAAAGTTTGTCAAACTTTTCTTGGTCCAATCATCAACAAACAACAAGAAATACCTATTGCCCCCAAGTATTTTAGTCTGAAAAGAACCACACATATATGAATATACCACACTCAATTTCTCTACTATGCTTTGAGGCAAAAAGTTTCGAAAGCTTCATCTTGTTTGCTTACATTGAACACACTCTTTACATACTGCTTCAGGAATTTCAACCACAGGCAGACCTTTAATCATTTCACGTTGACTTAGTTAAGATAAATCTCTGAAATTTAGGTGTCCAAACCTAAAATGTCATAACCATTGTGCTTTATTTCCTGATGCAACAAAGCACTGATGTTTGACAATATTCATCGCCACAGGAAATGTCCTATTCTAGGACAGATGTGCTTGGATGATCAACCTTCTATTATGATTAAAAATACTAAGACAATTATCCTTCATTTTCATCACAAATCCCTTCTAGAGCTGCTGGCCTAGACTTAACAGATTTGTTTCTAACCCTGGCACATACAAAACTTTTTCAATCACAACCTCTCTGCCATCACCATCTCTCAAAACAACATTTAAGATCCTTCTACTGTGAGACTTCTGTCATGAGCAAACTTAATCCTCCCCTACATGGCTTCTTTCCTTTTCACAAACCACTCATTCTTTCCATTCATATGTGTCGAACAACTTGAATCCAAGTATCAAATTGCATCATCTGACAAGTTTTCGTTTACTGGCCATTAACATCATAACCTCTGAATCTGAAGTATCATCTTGGGCCAGATGAGCTCTATCGTTTGGTTTGTTCATGGCTCTATCCCCTTTCCAATATTCTTTGGAAAAATGGACAAACTTATGGCAGTTATAGCACCTTACCTTTTTTTTTTTTTATCAAACTTCCATTCTTTTTCTCCATCAGAATTGGTGCAAGATCTTTTATTTTTGCATTCTTTTTCTCCATCAGAATTGTAGCATTAGAATCTTCACTCTGTTGTTTTTGTGATTCCTTGTGCTTAATGTTACCTTTGCTAACCTTCTTGAACCCTTTCTTGCCTTTGTATTGAGATCGAGTCTGAAGTGCTTGTTCTTAGCATTGTCTTTGCTCATTAATACGATATTTGTGTGCCTCTAATGAATGTTTGCAGTTCTTCAATCTCTAAGGTCTCTAAATCATGTGTCTCCTCAATAGTCACAACCACATGATCAAATCTTGGAGTCAGAGTTCTCAAAATTTTGTCCACCACATACTGGTCTATAATGCAACCTTTGCATACCCGCATAACATTGACAAGTTCCTGCCATAGTTTCACTCTCATCCATGGTCAAGATTTCAAACTGTCTTCTCAAAGTTTGCATCCTCACTTTCTTATTCTTGTCACCATCCCCATATGTTTCCACCAATATATCCCAAATTTCATTAGCAGTGACAACCTTTGAGATCTTGTTAAAGATCTTTGAACTGACACACTTATAGAGAAGAAATTGTGTCTTATTATCAAGTTTCTATTGCATTTTTTGATTTCTTTTGTCTTCATCAGTGTGGCCTTTGGGCTCAATTCAGTTAAACCTTCATTTACAACTTCTGCAACATCTTGAAAACCAAATATGACTTGTATCTTGATGTGTCAATCGTCAAACATCTTGCCATAAAACACTAGGAGTGACCCTTATATCATTCATTCAAACCCTGCCATGTTCAGTTCTTGATCAAGACTTGGAAATGTCTTCTACTCCTTGTTCCTCCAAAACAGAACTTTCAACAACTAAAGCAAACTTCCCTCACTAGGTTTCTTTTCCTTGACCCCTGTTCTTGATCACGCAGATTCTCATATAGATCTTTATTGTGCTCTTGATACCATAAAGAAGGGGCAAAGAAAGAGAGAAAACAACTAGAATAAGATGAAAATTTTATTATGTACATACATTGTATAAAAACATAACACAAAATGGTTTTATAAGTCAATACATTGTAAGTGACTTAACTCAACATTTTGGTTTACAACATGACACTAACAAATAAATTAAAAAGAGTGTTTCTATTATGACAGGAAAACTAAATACTACAATAAAAATTTCAAGACTTCCTACTCGTAAGAGTTATGAGAGGTTTGTCGTGTACACAAGTTGAGAGTAAGGCTGGACATAATTAATTTAGTTACAGTAAACTATAGATAATCTATACTATTTTGTACTATAAACACTGAACTGTTTTTATAAAAACTGAATTATACTGCTTTTTAGTACAGTTTAGTTTGATTTGCCCAGTCTAATCCTAATTGAGAGAAAGGATGAATTTAATTAGAGGTGTATAGGAAAAAATGTTCGTAAAACGAATATTACACAATTAAAAATAGAATAGATGAATGTCATACCACACTCTTTTATTCGTAAAGATAAACACATTTTGTCGTACATTATTTTTTCTTTTTGAATTTTATTGAAAGGTTTAAATTCGTCGGATAAACATTAATCAAAACAAAAATTTTCCTAAATTTTCTCAATTTTTAATAAATTTTACTTTAAAACAAGAGAACGTGTTAAAAAGATTCGGTTGTTATTGTTTTTGTACAAAGTAACTTCCCTTCTACAGAGGTCACACCGAAAGTCCATAAGAATGAAATAAGAGTGTTCCTTTCCACTTGCATGTCCCTTCGCACTGTGACAGCATTCATGAGTCCAACTTCTTCAATCAATCACACTTTGCTGTGTAACTGTTACTCTCCAAGTCACTGAAATCTAGTTCACTCTTTATCCTCCTCTTCTGACGATTTAAAAAAGAAAAAAAAATCGATTTTTTTTAAGGAAAACCCAAATTTTCAGCCCTTTCCTTGTTCCTCGCCCTCGAAATTTTCAGCTTAGCATTAACGGTCTCACTCTGATGCTTCGTTTTCTCGCAACTGTGTCAAAAATTTCTCTGCCTTTACCGCAATCAGCAGTTATAAAAGCTCTGCGAGTGTTCAGTTCCACCACCTGTTCGACCATTTGCCTCACCCAAACCAAGATTGAAGTTGAAGATGATAAAAACAAATGGAGTGATGCTACTGAACTTTTGAGCAAATGGGGTTGCAGTGATGATGATTTGAAGAGAATTTTCTCGCGCTGTCCCTCTTTGCGCAATGCTGATCCCACGCTGGTTCAATCTAAACTGTGCCTGCTTAGTGATTTGGGCTTGCGTGCTTCTCAACTTGTGAAGATTGTCAATTGTAGACCACGGTTTTTCCAGTGTCGGATTAACTCTTTTCTAGTAGAGAGGATTGAACATCTTACATCATTGTTTGAGTCGAGGGATGTGCTTCAAAAGGCAATTGTGAGGAACCCTTCATTGTTGCTATCGGAGGGTCGCTATAATGTTAAGGCTACAGTTGAGCTCTATGAGAAGTTGGGTGTTAAGAAGGGGGAATTAGTTCAGATGCTGCTTTTGCGGCCCACGGTTATTTCAAGGACTTCCTTTGATGCTGAGAAGCTGGAATATTTAAGCAAGACTGGGCTTGCTACGGATTCAAAGATGTATAAATATATGGTGACTTTAATTGGAATCTCTCGCATAGAAACTATCCGGGAGAAGGTGGCGAATCTCGCAAAGTTTGGGTTTTCTGAAGAGGAGATATTTGGTCTTATGGGGAGGTCTCCTAATGTTTTGACATTGTCGACAGACAAGGTTCAGAGGAACATGACTTTCATTTTGGGCACCATGAAGCTTGATGCTAAGATGGTTCTAAAGCAGCCGTATTTATTGTATGCAAACGTGGATACTGTTTTGAAGCCAAGAGTTCTACTAGCATTGAAGATTCAAGATATGGATTCAAAGTGGCAAATCATAGGACCAACGATAGTAAGTTTGCTTAGGATGCCAGAGAAGAGATTTTTGGACATGTTTGTCAAATGCCATGGCGAGGATGTTGCCAATGAATTGATGGATTTCTATAAAAGGACAAAAGAGGTCAAGAGATTAGGAGAGGCATCAAAGAAGTGCAGTAAGAGAGGATTCCCTTTCTGAAATGTGAGTTGCTTTCTAAAAAGTAATTTTGGAGCTGAGATCCATATCCACTTTTGGGTTATGCCGTTATTGGAAATTATGTGATACTATGCTTATTTCTGTCTATTAGATTTTTAATGAAGATTTTTCCTATGTAGTACAATATTGTGCGGCACAAAATCAAGAAATAATGTAGGCAATTGATTTGCGTATAATATGTTTTAAAGAGTAACCTGACAGATATAATATTGATTCTCACTGCCTCATTTTTCATTAGGGTTTGGATTGGAATATACATACATAATACCAACCATTCCATGGCGGCTTTGGCCTTTACAACATGGCTGATTTTTAGTTTAGAAATTTTGGATTAATTTTCACATTAAAAAGCCAGCTAGAATCTCACTGATTTTTCAATTACTGTCTGTAAACTTTTTTTACTTAAAATAAGTTTATCGTAACATTGAAATTTGCTGAGAACTGGCTTTACCATTAAAAAGATCTCAAGGACAATACAACTTTTCCGGATTCCAATTTTTGGTAAACTCAGAATCACCAATCCATCCCACACACCACTACACACACTCCATACCTCAATATTACCTTCACCTGTTGCCATCCCCTTCAAATCAACAACACCAATCCTGACCAGTCCTGACAGCACCTCAACAACGTCAACCCAACTAACAGTGGAGCTCACTCACTCAGTCATTAATGGAACTGGTCGACCACAACGAACCTGCTCCACACTTATGTCTCCTTCCCACGCAAGCTTCAAATTAAACTAAAGGGCAAGAAAGGAATTAAAAAATATGATAGGGTGCAGGAAGCAATACCCATTATAAAATTCTAATTGTCAGGGCCTGTGTTTGTATGTTCTAGCTCCTCATGGGTACATTAGAGTCCTCTTATAATTTTTTTCTTTATATATAT